AAATGAAAAATAATTTTTTTCTTAAGCTTTAGAATTCACTTACCTTATTTGTGAAAACCTATTTTTAACTTGGAATACTCAATGTCATCTGAGAGGATGTAAGTGTATAGGCTCTCCTGGTGTGCTAGTAACAGCGGTTGGGTGGTCTGGGCCATAGGTTTCTTCCACACTTCGCAGCTCAGTTCCCTGTCTCCCCCTCTCCTATAAAGTTCTAGTCAAGTCTGCTTCCACAGACACATGGCAGGCAGCCCCAGTAGAGAGGCGACTTTCCCTGTGGACACAGAAGTGGAGGATATACTCCTGACGCATCTTCACACTGAAGACAGGAGGGGCACTTGTCGGCCACTGCATGGCCCTCCAGCCGAGCTGCTGTACCTCTTCAGGGCTAGAGAGGTAAGGATTTCTTAGGTCTTCTTAGAACCACCCTCAAGTTGCAAGCACCGATAAAGACAGGACTACCTCAGAGCTACTGTGATTCCATTCCAGACAACCTCAACAAAGTGATTATCACAAGTAAGTTGAGTCACACAAATTATTTGGCTTTTCAGTACCTAAAGAAATTTACCCTATTCCATAGTCTGTGAAGTATGCAATAACACTATGTCTAAAAAATGATGCACATATCTTAATTTGAAATTATTTTATTGCTAAAAAAAAGTGTTACCAAGACACAAAGTTGAGTACAGGCTGTTAGAAAAATGGTGCTGGTAAGACTTGCTTGACACAAAGTTGCCACAAACCTACAATTTGTTTTAAAAAAAAAGTAACAAAGTAATAACACAAAGCACAATAAAACGAGGTACAGTGTGAATATGATCCAAGGAAGGAGGACCGCTAACTGCTCTGCCTGCCTGGCAGGAAATGCATTCTTTATATTGATGGAAATTATGCTTTCCCTTCACATTTTTTTTTTTAAATAGAGAAAGCATTTGTTCAAACCCTGCTGCCAGACATATTCCACTAGATTTCCACCCAAATAAGCTGGCCTCACAGTAGGAAGGACTCCTTCATGGAAGTTGGCAGAAAATGTATTTTTTTAGGGAGAAAAAATCCAAAAAACATACACACACAAATACTCCTAAGGGAGAGTCTATGCTTTTGAAAAAGCGACTTTTAGTATTGGCTCTTCTTGGTGTGGGTTTCTAAACTTTCAAAGGTAAAGGCTGCAGCAAACAACTGGTCCTAGAGATTATGCTGACTTCCAGCCTCTGCAGTCCAGAGTGAAGGGGGAACTGCGAGCAGGCGTGGGCACCAAGGCTGGAGGTATGCGCAGGCCTGTGTGTGCACATGTGTAAATACACACCAGAGATGGCATGGGCCCTTGGCACCTAATGCACAGCACAGTGGCAGAACAGATTCACATTGGTCATGACTCCTGTCTGCCAAGGACCCACCTGCTCCTTGTCAGGCTCTTTAGAAGGGATCAGAGAATTCTGACAGACATAACCTGAGAAGACATTACCGTGAACGGTATTATCTTAAACTCATAGTGGTTTAAGGCAACATTTTCCCTCCAACTTCTAGTGGACTTCATTTAGGACTCTGCATTTTACATCTCTCTCCCGCAATTTCAATGCCAGCTTTCAGAAACCAGCAGTAAGGAAACTGCTAGAACACTACAAAGACCTAGACTCGATGTTGGCTGCTGCTTTAGTCTAGGGAAGGACATCTGATGGCAGGAATCCCTTGAGCAGTTAGCTGGGTTTTTAGCAGTTATAGGTAGTCCCCAGATTACGAACAAGATAGGTTCCGTAGGTTTAAGTTGAATTTGTATGTAAGTTGGAACAGGTACATTTACCTATCATCCGTAATAGCCTCCATTTGTAAGTGGGAGTTGTACATCAGTCAGATGTTTGTAACTCCAGGCCTTACTGGGATAGTCTCCGTTCATAAGTGTGAGTTAGATGTACGTCGGATATGTGTGATTCGGGGACTACTTGTCTTATCAATGTGCCTGTTCATGTGCGAATCATGCAAGATAAGCCATAAACATGACCAGAGTCCTCACGACTGATCCCCCAGTGGTTGTCAAGATTGATAGATTCCCTGTGACCTTTTAATTCTTGAATGGCAACTTCAAAATCAGAAAGCTGATGTTTCCAATTAGGAAGTTAAAAAGAAAAAAAGTTTACACATTTTATGATATATACTTTTATTTGTACAACTGAAATTATTTTCTTAGTCACCTTGATTACAAAAAAATTAACATGGTATGACTTAATAACCTGTCATAAATAGATTTTACAAATTTTACTGACAGATTGCTACTGGATACTCAGTAATACTTAATATTTAGTAACTTCTGCATACTTGTCTATGAAAATTCTGTCTGATAAGACTAATAATTATGGGTACTTTTATAACTCAGGAATAGGCAATTAGGTTATTAGTTAAAGGTTAATTCCTCAACACTGAGTCAGTTATTTAGACCTGGAGTTCTTATCCCGCTGCGAACAAATCTGCTGCAGCAATTTATACTTACTGTGTAGGCTTTCCTAATAATTTAAGAGAGTTTATCCTTATTTCTGCATATAATAACACTATGATTAAACACATCTGAAAATCAAAATCTTACCACGCCTACAAGTGTCTACAGAAGAACTTTATCACAGTGTATCTGAACAATGGCCCAAACTAAAGCCATGTCACATGTCCAGGAAGCATTTCCCCAGCTGCCTCGCTGGGTGTGTGTACATAATGCACACTACACCATAAGGCTCCATCATATACACTTCTGAGCCTTCCTGGCCACACAAAATGACACAATTTTACTATTTTTGTGAAGTGCCTGTAAAATATAGTATTTTAATGGGACTATTTTAAGTCCTATCACAGTGCTTTCAGTCTGAGGACCAGGCAGCGTTTGGTAATCTGACCCTTTTCTGCCAAGTGCAGAGACAGCCAGAAGAGCTGCTGGGACTTCCCAGAAGGTGAGAGGAATGGTCAGTGTCTGTGGCCACAAACAAGCTGTGAAGAATGACAACAAACTTATGAGTCATGGTCAGAATCTAAGCAACGAAAATGTCTTGCTATAGCAGCATTAAATCCCAGAGGCAGGAAGAACTGATACATGTGCCTTTTCACACAAGCTCTATGAGAGCCAAAACATCATCTTTCCACATCAGAATTGTGATCGGAGTATGCAGCAGTCCTTGGTCATTCTTAATGCTACTTCTAACACAGCTCGCTAAACTGTCCCTTCATGAGTTGGTAAGGTTCCAGTGAATGTGAGCACAGGCCCCACCTACTCCTACCGTATAAGATGAGCTGCTGCTCTCGGCTCTGCTGGCTGCAGGACGATGAAGGTTGTTGGCAGGCGGGATACACAGCAGCAAAGCTTCTGCTGTCAGCAATCCTGGGACTAGAGGCCATTCCACTCCAGAAGCCCCCTTTCTTCATACTGTTCTGGTCAGGGGGTAGTAGTCACTCAGTACTGAACACATGAGGCTGATGTGGTGGGCCCAGTGGGGACAAATGTGTCTGGTAGCCCTTTTCCCTCATGCCACCATCTACATAGTAAATATGGCATCGAATTTCTCGATTGTGCTAAATCTAAGAATCATCTTAATCATGATAAAACCCAAACATCTTCCTAAGAAAAGGTTACATGATTTAAAAAAAAACCATTCTCAGGATCTTGAATGCTGAGATGAAGCCCATCCCGTTTCCCTCTAGCCCTGGTGGGGCTTTGATATCACCCCAAGCCTCACCCCAACAGGCTCTCATTTTGAACAAGGACAGGTCATTTTGGCCACTTTTTTCCTACTGCCTTTTATGTGCATGTGCTTCATGTTTAGATCTTGTTGCCTTGTTTGGTGGCAATTAGAAAATCAAACAAGGTCAAGTACAATTTCCTATGCAAGGTAGTGAGTGGTGGATCCACACACTTGAACACAGAACTGTGGCAGTCACTGATGGACACAGATCAACACTGGGTACTGCTGGGTGCAGAAGAGAAAGGAATACTTAACCACTAAGATTCAGAACTCTTACCTAGCGTGGCACGCCTGCTAGGTGGGAAAATCACTACCTGTCCGAAATAAAACCACTTTGGACGGCAGTTAAACTACCAAAAACGAGTCTGCCACCTGGGAGCTGAACTTGGGCTTGGCCAGTGTGATGTGCACAAAGAAAGGGCTGGTGGACTTTCCATTCTTGGCATGTTTCTTCCCCTTGTGAGTCCATTACCTTTCACAAAGAAATGTTAACTATCAAACGTGTCCATTAATTTTGCCGCTGAGGGTGAAACCATCCAGTTAGCATATACACTATCATTTGCATATCTCGGAAACCCAGTGTTAGTGCCATCGGCTCTCGTGAGTGGTACAGGACTCTCTCCAGGCCAGTTCGGGTCTGACATGCCTAAAAATGAAAACACATAATTTGTTCTGCACTGAAGAACCAAAACTTCATGTGCAGACAGTAAGGCCTTGGCAAAACTCCCTTTGATGTTCAAACCAAACTCATGGTTTCTGTGCCAATTACATTAATGGTTTTGTGCTCCAGGTTTCCAAAAACATTGTTATTTAGGGGAAATATCATGTGCTCTCTTGGTAAATGTAACTTAACAGACACCACTAATTTTGACTTTCATGAGCTTCAGACCCTTAGATCTGATGGATGTTTGTGAACTGTTTAACTCTCTGAGGCAGTGTAAAGCTCCAGCACCTTGCTGCACTACAGGCTTACTGCAGTGAGAACGTTCCATAAAACGTTCACTAACACAAAGGAGGCACTTGTCTGTCGTTCAAGCCTACAGCAGGGGGGCGGACCTTCCAAATCGAGGGCGCACGCAGGCTAGCCCCACGGCACTGTCGGCACACGTGGGTTGTAGCACCAGACCCAAAGCCAGTGAGGAGTCAGTGAGTCGGCGGGGGGCATGCAAAAGGAACAATCTTGGCTTGAAAAATGCTTGAGACTCCAAAAGTTCAAAACAATCAATGATGAAGTTAGGAAACAGGAAAAAATGTCAAGTATTTAATCAAAGACAAAAGAAGGAGTTTTGGCAAGAACCATATTTACTGTCCATTGTAAAACCACAGCACCATAGACTACGTTCTTTCAAAAAGCACTTGCTCCAGTTTTAGCACTGACTTTGTAAGAGACAACCATCCTGACAGTGGGGAATGCAAAGGATGTGAAAACAGCAGTCTGGGGTGTGTCCTCCCAGGGACAGCTGGGTTCCTGCCACTTCCCTGCCCCTGCCAATGGACACGAATCTGGGCTGTGGGCTGAGTCTACTCCCAGCCCCAGGCAGCCTGAGAGGTACCCACCCACCTGGGGGGGCCCTGGCTGTGCTGCCAGTGCAGGCTAGGGCATGCTGGCTGTTCCTTTCTCAATTAAATACCTCCCCAGATTGTGTAAATTTATCCAAGTAGTTAAATTAGAGGTTGAGACTGAGACTTGATTTCCACCCCAGAAATGACTCATTCGTCATGTTCTCCATCTCCCCTGAGAGTTCTGCCCTGATCTGTTTTCTCCTCTTTTATGGTTAAGTTGCTGGGCGGTGTGGCAATTACACTGATTTTCACATCCTTTTAGAAAAACATAGTCGCAAAAATGCCTGAATGTGTCAACTGGATGCAAAGTCAGACACTTACAAATAAAAAGGTTCAGAGCAGACTTTGGTTTTGTTCAGACCAGAAACACTCTTAAAAAGCATCACAGAGAGTAAGGATAAAGCAGAGGGGAACAACGGTGCTAGAATCTAGTAAATGCATGGGAAATTCTACCATAGAGTTTGTTTTCAATCCATGTGGAAGGGAGGGCTCGAGGGAGGGGAGCACTATTACAGTCCACCAGGGGCGTCTCCTCTTCCGACAGGCCATCGTCATAAAGCAGGGAGTCGGATGGGGTGGACGCAGCAAGATCCAAGTAGTCCTGGAAGAGAGAAGTGGCCAGTCAGCCCCTGCCATGGCCACTACTGGACAGACTTTGGTTTTCTCACTACTCAAGGGGCAGAGGCCCTGGCAGTACCCTGACCCTGCCCAGGCCTCCTGGTCTCTCCAAGAGACCAGAAACAGGGGACGCTAAGCTCCTGTGGCTGCTGCCTCATCTGGTCCTCCTCGGGGTCCTCCCTCGTCATTCCCTCCAAGTGTTATCTACTCTGTCTCTCCCCCTAGAAAGTCACCTACCTGGGGACAGAAATGTGTTCCCTCAGCATCTTATTTCCAAGGCCTGGCAGGCAGTAGACGCCACGCCTGGGGGACTGTTTCGGGCAAGTTTGCTGGAGCCCTATTACTTGTGCAGAAGCAACTCAAGCCAAGAAGCAGCCCCAACCTGCAGGATGTTTTCCTGCTTTCTTCCAAGGACTCCTGCCACCTAGAACCTCCTCACATCAGGGCTCAAACATCTGAAGCACGATCGATGGCACTGACTATTGCTTCTGTTAGGGACAACCTTACATTTGTAGGATTCAGAGGGTTTTGCCCAAATGATACAGTAACATAAAGTTTTATTACAGGTGGCCTAGATCTTGGCATCCTGCTTTTCAGGTCTGAAGAAATGGCAACTCTTAGTAAATGTGCCAATGTTTTGTTTTTTTGTTTTTCTGTTTTTTTCATTTGAGAAGAGTCTCACTCTGTTGCTCCAGGCTACAGTGCCCGGTGTCATAACTCATAGCAACCTCAAACTCCTGGGCTCAAGTGATCCTCTTGCCTTAGCCTCCCAAAGGAGGCTACAGGCCTGTGCCACGATGCCGGGTAGTTTTTCTATTTTTAAAATAGAGATGAGGTCTCAAACTCCTGAGCTCAAGTGATCTATCCACCTCACCATCTCAGAGTGCTAGGATTACAGGCGTGAGCCACCACACCCAGCCTCAATGTGCCAAAGTGAAGATGAAGCCTCTACATAAACAACCTGAGGGCAGGGCCCTGGCTGGTCTTGCTTACTTGCATTCCCAGAATCTAAGAGAAGATATGGTTCCTCACAGTTACTTGACAAATACTAGTTGAGAATTTGCTGACTTTCTCATTTTCTGAACTTCCAGAGTTGCACACTGAAAGCACACAGCTGACTCTGCCTCCCAGATATGTTCTGTTTGGCTCACATTGGGCTTTTGGAAACTTAAATGAGTTGCTAACAGTAAAAGCTGAAAGAAGTCACATAAGCCTAAGAGAATTCAGAAGACCTGGCACAAGCCTGGCTCATCTTCCTGCAGTCTGCCTGTGGCCACAGCAAAGAACCTTGTGAATGCGGCATGCTCCTGTGTAGAGGGCTCCGGGGAACACTAACACTCCTGTGTGCCACAGTCCCACTGCGCCCTAGTCTCTGCCGTCCCCTAGTTAGAGCCCTGGGAGCACCTGCATTTAGGACATCCAATTTAACTCTACTTTCTTAGGTCCCATTACTGAAAATGGTTTCCTTTGGCTTTGGAATATTTTCCTCCCACACCTGTCTGTGGGGAGCTCTTCCTAAGAGCCAAGCTAAGAATCTTGGTTTCTTTGTGATTTGAAAAAAAGTCTGACTGGACTTGATTCTCTGTGTGCCCTCAGGGGACAGCATGACCTTCTGTTGGCCCCAATCTGGCCCCACACTGGGAACTCTGAGGGCCCTGGGGTGAGGCTGCAATCCCCATGCCACATTTGGCCTGTGGGAATTGGCTCCAGGTACTCACTCTGCTCTTAACCATCATCTTCTCCAGGTCTTTGCTGATGTCGGCAAACACTGGCCTCTTGTCTGGTTCCTGCTTCCAGCACTGCAGCATCAGGCGGTACCTGGTGGGAAGAGCAGATGGGCCATGATGACCTAGCAAGGCCAAGCCTCGAAAGGATAGCATGTCGCAGCTACCCACCCAGCACTGTGCTCTGTACCTAAGCCTCAAGGCTGTTTCTCTATCACTGATGTCTGCCCTGAACCTTGCTGAGAGCTGGGGTACAGCCTCCCTGTAGGACCCAAGCCTTTGGGGCCACTGTGGGCTTGGGCACCCCAGCGCCACCATCCAGCCTCCTACAGGCTTTCTTTCCCTCTAAGAGAGATTTATTTTTACTTTCTTTGCAAAGACATTGATAAACAGCTGGCTGGATACTGCACCCACCACAGTGACTGAGCAGGAAAATATCAGTCCTTAAAACTTTTGGGAAGAATGAACTGACTGAGACCTTTTAGGCATGGAGAGAGACAGACAAATACCTCTGGCAATCACACTCTGTCTTGCACCTTTTGTACTTCCCTGGGTGCCCAGGTGTCCTACCTCACCCTGGAACATCCTACCTCGTCCTGAGCTCTATAGAATAAATGGACCAGTGCATCTCTACCTCTGGATGGCCCTTTCTCATCTATTTCTAACCTGGCCTCCTAGGACCATTTCATCTAACAGCCCAGTGTGAGGTATGAAGACTCCAGCATTCTTGGGTTGAGGGCCAGGCTGCCCCTGTGCCTGCACTTGGGCACTCCCTACTTCATACCCTGGGTCTTTCTGAGCTACCTCCTCTTCCCAATGTATCCTGCAGGGAAAGTCTTCAGATCTTGAACTTTTACTGCACCAGGCTGTGCTTCTATTTATTTTAGTAAGAATCTCCAAGGAAGCATCCCAAACCCAGCAGGGTCAGGTGCTCAGTGTCTGCCACCATACAAAGGGTGTCTCTGTGACCTCCACCTTGCCACATCCCACAGCCCATTCTCCCAGGGCTGGCAGCTGGCTGCTCAGGGGTGGGAGAAATCAGGTGCATGTGTACCCTCCCCTCCCAAGGGAGGCTGGACCAAAGCAAACCCTGCTCACATCTCCTCACTGCAGTTGTCAGGCCTCTCCATGCGGTGGCCAGTCTTCAGAAGGTTGAAGAGCCGCTCAGGAGGAATCCCAGGGTAGGGGTTGCCCCCCAGGGTCACAATCTCCCATAGCAGGACTCCAAAGGACCACCTGCATCAATCAAATAGACCAGTGAGCAGCTCCACCTGGCCCCCTCCTAAGGGCCCCCCAGCACACCCTCCACAGAACCCAGACATCTATTCCCCAGCATCTGCTCCCCTTGGCAGCCCCCACGACAGACTGGCTGACAGACTGCAGCCTGAGTATGGCTGATGGATGTAGGGCTTGCCTACTTGGCCCCCACCCCTGTGATGCTGAGGTTCCTACCCCACTGCTACTATCAGAGAAGTCCCTCCCACAAGGGGGACAGGTAGGTAGCACCTAAAGAGGTTAGAAGCTAGGCAATAGGACTTGGGGTACCCTGGACAATTCTTTCATTGTGTGCTTGGAAATCTTCACAAAAAAGCTATAGAAAAGTATTTTTTCTATTTTGAAAATTTTCAAGTTTTCTTTTTTAAAGCCAAATTTAGAGTGGGAGTTTGTATACCAACTTTAGTGACACTAATGTTACTATGCTCTGATAACCCACTACCATCGGTTCCACTAGAAAAATACTTAACTATGAAGGAAAAACCTTATTGTAAACTGGAGACAAAACGTCACAAGACAGCATCATCACATGAGCCCAGCTGGGGCAACGTAAAGTATACACATGTATGTCCATACCACAGAATATAGCAGAAGGCCAACAGGAATCACTGGGGGTGTGATCCAGTGATTTTCAGCCTCTACCTTGTACTTTCTCTGCTTTTTCCAATTGTCCTACAGTCAGCTTATCCAATCAGAAAACTGTTGTGCAAAATTGCTTCCGACTGCTTTCTAACGGCTCACATTATTCAAAATATGCAAGTCTGTTGACTGCTAAACACTATTTCTATAGTGCTGTGTTTTATAACTTGACCTGGAAGAACAAAGTTTTAGCTGCCACCTTCCAGTAGTTTGGGGCACACCAGCCCACAAACTCACAGAAGGCCCCCTTCCTCAGGGTCCCCAGTCCCTATTTGTGGGTGGGGTACCAGTCAGAGTCATGGGGGTGCCTTGCCTAAACCAGAGCCCCTGCTTAGGACCCACAAAAGAAAGGGCCAGATCTATGTGTTACTAGAGGCCCAGAGATGAAGAGGGAGCACCAGGGGGTTCTTGGCCACCTGCTCTGTCCCAGCATGCTCCGTCTGGGCTTTCAGAACTACTGCCTGGCTCCTGGCATTGCTAAACACATATGTTAAGAAGGTCACTCAGCGTGAGGGTCATTGCCATGGCTAGCATTGCAGACAGGTGCTCAGGGACAGCACCGAGTTTCACATACAGGCAATGTGGCCCTGTGCAACGTTTCACAATGTGGCCCTCTGTGGAACCCCCCACCCCAGGAAGGCAACATCCACACTTACACATCACTTTGGGTGGTGTAGATATGATCAAAAAGGGACTCAATTGCCATCCATTTGACTGGAATCCGACCCTAAATAGGGGGTGAAAGAAGAGCATTGCAATTACTCTGATGCTGGGATACGTAGGGGCGAAGAGGTCAGGCCATGTCCCTGAGCTTCTAGTTCTAGGAGTGCCATGGGCACTCATGGACATAGCTGGCTGTGCACAACCTTAAACAGCTATGGAAAAATATTTTTTCTATTTTAAAAAATACTCCAGTTGTGTTTTTTAAAGCCGAATTTAGCAGTGGGGGGTTGTGTATCAACTTTAGTGACATTAACGTTAGTATGTCAGTGTCCTATGTTAGTGCTCTCTAAAGGGCTGGGGCTCTAGCACGCACCTCCTTGGCATTGCTGAGATGTTAGAGGGCATCAGCGTCCTTCCATAGCCACTCAGTTTGTCATGTGCCACATGCCTGCCGGGTACCGCAGAACAGTGCTATATGTGGGCCAGGGATACCTAGAGCAAGATCTCTCTGGTGTTTCCACCTGGGGGATGTCTGACTCTAGCTTGACACACTAATGGCTCTTCTGAAGAGCACTGAGGAGATGGAATCTGTTTAAGTGTCTTGAGGCTGGTTTTTCCCTCTTATTGACTCCTAGGAGTCTTCTAGCATCTCTGAATGAGTGCACAGATAGGCCAGTAGCAGTGCCTGGGTATGACCTAACAAACCCTTTCCAATGCAACTTGAGAAACAGCTTTTCCACAGATAAGTCTTTTTTT